CAGCAGCAGCAGCAGCAGCAGCAGCACCGGATGAGAGGGTTGGGGTGGGCCGTGTCTTTGCGGAAGCTGTTGACGGCGAGGACGGCGAGGTGGGGCTGGCGTTTCGAGGAGTTGGCGAGAAATAAATAAATCATTTTTTTGATTTCGATGCTGCTGCTTTGGAGACAAGAAAGCATTTCCGGAAAAAGAAAAGAAACTTCTTTTCCAGAGCCCATCATTTCCACCACAGCCTTCACTGCTGCTCGCTGCTGCTCCTTGCTGCTGCTCCGCAGCTGCTGCCGCAGCTCCTGCAGCTCCCGACGCCCCCCGCCCCCGAGGCAGCTCGTCTCCATCCTGCTGCTGCTGCTGCTGCTGCTGCTGCGGGGGGTGCTGCGGGGGGTGGGGTTGGGGTGGTTGGTGCTGTTCGTGCTGCTGTTGCTGCTGATGGTCTGGCTCCGGATCGTGCTGCTGCTGCTGCTGCTGCTGCTGCTGCTGTGGGTGCCCTCTAGGTGCTGCGGCTCTTTCTTTGAAACTGTCCCTTCGGTTCTCAAGGGGTATTGCTCCGGAGTCGTAAACCCTAAACCCTGAACCGTAAACCCTATACCCTAAACCCCAAACCCTTGACCCCTAAACCCTAAGGTTATTCGCCTCCAGCGTCTCGCCTCCTTCGACCCCTACACACACAGCGCAGCTGCAGCGACTGCAGCAGCAGCAGCAGCAGCAGCAGCAGCGCGACGCCGCAGCAGCGAGCTGCGGCAACTGCTCGCAGCTTCTTTTCGTGCCTGTCTGCTGCTGCTGCTGCGCTGCTGCTGCTCCTGCTGCTGCTGCTGCGCCTCAAAGCCCCGAAATAAAATGAAAAGAAAAAGATATGATTTTTGAGTCCGCCAAAACCCTCGATGGGCTCATGTGCGCATGCGCCGCGAGCTGTCTGTACACCTCAGCCTCGGGAGCGTCCTTCGTCAGCGCTCATCTAGCGACTCTTCGTCATTATTTATTTATTTTTTCATTTTACAAAAGGAAAAGGAAACAACTACGCGAAAAGATAAGCCAAATAGCTGCTGCATGCAGCAGCAGCGAGACGATCAGCAGCAGCAGCCCCGACTTCACTTCTGCTGCTGCTGCTGCCCCTCTGCCTCTCTTCTTCTGTGTCTTTTCTTTTTAATTCTTTTTAGGCCCTCTGGCTTCGACCAGGAATAGCTACCAGCCGCAGCAGCAGCAGCAGCAACACCTGCAGCAGCAGCAGCGGCAGCAGCAAGTTCGACTTCGAGGCTTTTGCGTCGGCTGCGGGGGCCTCTGCTGCAGCACTCAATGCTCGGCTTCTCTTCGAGTTTGCGGCTGCTGCTGTCCCCGCTGCTGCTGCTGCTGCTGCTGCTGTGCTGCTCTCCCGCTGCTGCTGAGGGGGCCCCCCTGCAGCAACGCGGGGCCCCTGAGAGGGTTCTGAGTTTCTTGAGGCCCTGGGGGCCCTTTGCTGCTCACCAGCTTCCGGTGCAGCTGCATCAGCAGCAGCAGCAGCGGCGGCAGCAGCTGCAGCAGCAACAACCCCCCAAAATGCTGCGTTCATTCCTGAGGCTCGCGAGCGCCAAAGGGCCCCTCCAGCTCTCCATAGAAAAGAAGGTTTGCGCGGCGAGGGTTTAGGGTTTGGGGTTTAGGGTTTACGGGGTCAGGTCTAGGGTTTAGGGACTAGGGTTTGGGGCGCTGCGCTTTCTCTGCAGCTTATGGAGCAACTGGCCCCAGAGTTCCTAGAAGTCATAAATGAGGTAAGCAGCAGCAGCAGCAGCAGTAGCAGCCGCAGCAGCACTTGCTGCTGATGCAGCAGCAGCAGCAGCAATGGTAACACTAGCAGCAGCTGCTTTGGTGCAGCGAGACCCGCTGCACCAAAGCAGAGAGCAGCAGCAGCAACACCACCAGCAGCACCGCTACTACACAAAACCCAGCAACAGCAACAGCTGCTGCTGCTGCAGCAGAAGTAGCAGCAAACGCAGCAGCAGGTTTGTGTTTGCTGCTGCTGCAGTCTGCTGCTCACAAAGGGCACTTAGGCAATCCAGATCCAAATGCCCCAGAGACCCATTTCTTGTGAGGCCCTTTTATTATTTTATTTAATTTTGTTTATTTTATTTATTTGTTTACTTTTATTTTTATTTATTTTTATTTATTTTGTCGCTTTTCTATTTCTTTTTTACTTCTTTATCACCTCTGTTCTTTTATCTCTTTGCTGCTTTTATTATTTCTCTCCCTTTTCCTCATTTTGTTTCTTTCTTTCTTTTCATTTCCTTTTTATGTCTTTTTATCTTTTAAGTTACTGTTATATTTTTATTTCTCTTGTCTACTGCCAGTTCACAGCTCCCTGTTGCTGCTGCTGCTGCTGCTGCTGCTGCAGGGTGCGCATCCGCAGCAGCAGCTTCAGCGGCAAGACTTTGCTGCAGCAGCACCGCGAGGTGTATGCAGCACTAAAGGAAGAGCTGCAGCAGGGAGTCCACGCGCTGTCTATACAGTCCGAGGCTTTTGAGAAGTAGTTTTTACTTTTATTCTTTTCATTTATTCTTTTCTTTATTTAACAAACTTCACTCACAAACAAACCCCACAAACCCCCGGGGCCCCCAGGGGGGCCCCCCAGGGGGGGCCCCCACCAAACACTGTGGGGCCCCACAGCTTCCACCATGGGGGCCCCTCGCTGTGCCCCAGTAGGGGCCCCTGGGGGGACCCTGGAGTGTCCTAGAGGGGCCCCTAGAGGGCCCTCAAGGGGGGCCCCTGTGGGGCCCCCCCAAAGGGGCCCCTTGGGAGCCCCTGGGGGGCCCCAGCGGGGCCCTAAAGGGCCTCCTGGGAGGGCCCCTGGGGGCCCCAGGGGGCCTCCTGTGGGGCCCCCTGCGGGGACCCCCGGCGCTTCAGAGTCTGTCCTTCTCGCAGCAGCAGCAGCAGCAGTAGCAGCTGCTGCTGCTGCTGCTACTGGTCTATGAAGGGCAGGGCCTCTGCGTCTGCTGCGTCGAGGGCCTTGAGGGTTTGGATGCAGCTGTGGGGCCCGTGGGGTGTCTGTCTCCTTCCAGTCCACCTGCGGAGCAGAAAAGAATTAATTATTTATTTCAAACTTTTCAATTTGTTCTTTAGTTGCTTCTTTTCGTGGTCATTTCCACATTAAAGGCAGCAGCAGCAGCAGCCAACTCAAAGAGACGCAAAACGCAGCTTTTGCTGCAGCCAGCTGCAGCACAGGGGCCCCTGGGGGGCCCCCTGCAGCCCCTGTGGGGGCCCCACAAGGGCCGCTAGGGGTCCCTTTGGGGGCCCCCTGGGGCCCCCAAGGGGACCCCTTGGGGGTCCTTTCTGGGGCCCCCTGGGGGCCCCTGTTGGCGTTTTTGGGTCTTTTTGGCCCGTGAAGACCCAAAAAGGAGAAATAAAGAGAAATGTGATTTTAAAAAGAGAAAAAAAGGGGGAAAAAAATCAAAAAAGCCAAAAAGTTTCAAAAAAGTCCAAAAAAAGAAAAATCTCACCTAAGCAAAGACACAGAACGGCCCCCGGGAGCTGCCCAGCGCAGCAGCTGCTGCCATTGCAGTCTGGAGTAGAAAGGAAAAGAAGTTCCCTGAAAAAATAGGAAAAACTTTGTAACTTTCTAGCAGATTTTTGTCCTTCTTTGCGGAATTTTGTCCTTTTTTTGCAGAAAAGGGGGAGTTTTTGAATCCCTTTTCAATCTTTTATTTCACTTTGCAAAAAAGAAAGAAGAAATTCCTTTTTTCGATCTTTTTTTCGCTTTTTTTGTCAATTTCCACCAAAAAAAGAGCGCCACAAGGACACAAAGCCAGAAACGATTAGAGAATTTTAAATGAAAAAAGTTTTAAAAGAGATAAAAGAAGATTTAAAGGAATGGAAAGAGAAAAAAGAAACAAAAAAGGATAAAAAGATTAAAAAGGATGAAAAGATATTAAAAGGAGATTGAAAGATTTGAAAAGAGATTAAAAGGAGAAAAAAGGAGATTAAAAGAGATGAAAAAGAACAAAAAGGAGATTAAAAGAGATAAATGAAATATAAAAGAGACGAGAGGATGAAAAGACAAAAGGAACAAAAAGAAATAAAAGAATAAAAAGAAGTAAAGGAGTAAAAGGAATGAAAGAATAAAAGAATAAAAACAATAAAAGAACAAAGAGAATAAAATGATGAAAAGGATAGAAGAGTAAAAGGAATAAAAAAAGAAAAGAACAAAAGGCATAAAAGAATAAAAAAATAAAGGAATAAAGATTAAAAAGAATAAAAGGATTGAAGGATAAAAGAATAAAAGAATAAAGAACAAAAAGAATTGAAAAGTAAAAATAAAATAAAAATAAAAGACTTTGCTGCACCTTAACAAGAACAAAAACTTCTCTCCAGCAGTTTTGGCTCTTCACCAAATTTCCAAACTTTTCGTAAAAGTCAAAAGCCTTCCCCCGCGCACTCCGCAGCAGCTGCAGCACATCCACACACACACCTGCTGCTGCTGC